TGGTGCTCAAGAAATATTGAATGGATGAATAAGCCAATTTTACCCAAGGTTATTCTTGGCTCAGAGCAACATAATGAAAGTCTGCCTTTGGTGCCTTCTATCAGTGCTCCCGTCTCTAGGTACAGATGGGGAAGGTGAGGGTGCAAGGGCACGGAGCTCTCTGATTCAGGCAGTTCTGTGCCTTCTGCTGCCTTCTGTGGTCTTTCATGATCAAGTTCCCCCTCCGTAAACTGAGCTCCTCTGTGTCCTCTCCCAACTGTCACACAAAGCCAAACCTCAAACCAGTTCCACTCTGTGGTGACAGACCTTCGCCTCCAGGAGCAGTTGGTTTTAATGGAGAACTCTGAGGTTGCAAAGCCAGAGCAGAGCTTTTTAATGGTTGACCTCCAGGTTGAGGTGGATGGATGGATGGGATAAATTATGGAAGAGGAGCCATGCCTGGAATCCTTCAAATCTCAGCCCTGTGTCAGCGGTCTGCTCTGAAGCAGCATCAGGGCAAATGCTGGGTTGTGAGAGAGGCATTTGCTTTTCCTACAGGAAAACCCCATTCAATTCCCCAAACATACTGATACAAGCTACATTGTGTGACATTAATTTAACAGCTGCTGCTACTGCCTGCTGCTTCTTTCCTTCCTTTCTTCTTTCCTGCCTTCCTTCTTCTTTCTTTCTTTCTTTCTTCCTTCCTTCCTTCCTTCCTTCCTTCCTTCCTTCCTTCCTTCTTTCTTTCCTTTTCTTTCTTTCTTTCTTCTTTTTTCCTTTCTTCTTTCTTTCTTCTTTCTTCTTTCTCTTTCTTTCTTTCTTTTCTTTCTTTCTTCTTTCTTCTTTCTTTCTCTTTCTTCTTTCTTCTTTTCTTTCTTTCTTTCTTTCTTTCTCTTTCTTTCTTTCTTTCTTTCTTTCTCTTTCTTTCTTTCTTTCTTTCTTTCTTTCTTTCTTTCTTTCTTTCTTTCTTTCTTTCTCTCCTTCCTCTCCCTCTCTCTCTCCCTCCATCTCCCTCTTCCTCCCTTCCTCTCTCTCCCTCTCTTCATCTCTCTTTCTCTCTCCTTCCCTGCCTCTCCTTCCTTCCTTCCTTTTTTCTTTCTTTCTTTCTTTCTTTCTTTCTTTCTTTCTTTCTTTCTTTTTCTTTCTTTCTTCTTTCTTTCTTTCTTCTTTTCTTTTCTAATGACTTAAGCTCTTAATCCCAGTTATAGTGGAGAAAGAGAAAGATACAAAGAGTAATCGTGACTAACATTGGCTGCAAGTCTATTGGTAAACTCTAGAGCTCCTCAAGCTGCCTGTGGTTGAGTAGGGCCAAAATCCTGTACAAAGAGAACTAAGCCTAAAATTTAGTCAGCAGCAATGAGGGTGGAGTGTGTAACAGATCTGGGTTGCTATGTCCCATCTCCTAGACTCATCCCTTATATCAGCAATAGTGTTGATAGCTAGTGCTGTGCACTCTGACAGGATCCCCTTCAGCTCCAGCCACATAGCCACCCACTTTTATGCCTGACATGTTTCTTCAAAGCTGGGGAGACTTGGGGCGCCTGGGTGGCTCAGTAGCTTAAGCGTCTGACTCTTGATCTCAGCTCAGGTCTCTATCTCAGGGTTGTGAATTCAAGCCCCACATTGGGCTCCACTTCTGGGCATGGAGCTTACTTAAAAAAAAAAAAAAAAAAAAAGCTGGGGAATCCTATTCAGCCAGTATGTAGAGATAGCCTGGAGGGAAAAGGGAGTTAGCCCAGCAGGGGCAAACCTCAACCAAGGGGCTGTGGGAGCTAGTGCCCTAGACTCCTTTGAACGGGGGTCCTGGGAAGCATTTTGTGTTCTTCAGAGGTCCCAGGGGAGTTGAGACACCCTGCCTGCAGCAGCAACCTCAACGACCCATCTTTATAGTCTTTCCTTTTCCTATTCTCACTCCTCCATCCCTTCACTCATGTCTGTGTATGTTTGTTTTGTTCTGGTGATGGTGGGAGGTTTCCCATATAAACTACCTGCCCCCAAGGCTTTTCTTAGCCTCAGCTTTTGGAAGAACCTAACCTAACTAAGATAAGGGGTGATTTCCTAGTGATGAAATGAACTTAAAAGAGTTTTAAGTTTTAAGTTCATTTCCTAATGGCTATGAATGGAAACATATGGGATGTAGAAGGCAGGGGCATCCATTTCCTGAGGAGAAGGCTCTGGGCCAGCACTATCCAAAATGGGAGCCACTTAGCACATGCAGTTAGTGACTTCAGTGTGGCGAGTGTGAGTGAGGAGCTGATTTTTTAATTTAATTTAAATTCACTGAAATAACTACATGTGCCTAGTGGCTACTGGACTGGACTGCACAGCTTTAGACATTATAAGAAACAACTCCTTCTGGAGGTTTAAAAAGTAAATTATATGGCTGACTCAACTGGTTACCTAACATCTATTCTTGCAGAATCTTAACTTTATTCGGTATGCTGCTGTCCCCAGTTAAAAAACACGAACAAAACCTGATTTCCCAGACTTTCTTACAGCTGTGCATGGTCACAGGAGCTTCCCTTCCCATATAAAAGGTGTCTGGAACAAAGAAGGAGTCCTGCTCTTTGCCTTTCCCCTCTCCCTTGTGTTCCTGCCTGAGTATACGTCATGCTTGGAGGTACAGCAGTCATCCTACTATCAGCAGGAAGACAGATGCTGATAAGGTGGAAGAAGCCTGGGTCCTAACACCTTCCTCAATTTGCTGCACCAGCCTGGCCTCCTGGCCTCCAGACGAGGGTGACTGAGGCAAGAAAAATCCTGATACTTGTAGCAGAATGCATCCTGGTTGGCATAGATTGTTTTAACAGATTCTGGTTGAAAATAGATTAGTACTAATATGTCGTACTTTTATACTAGAGATTGGGAAGTCATGGGACTGATGGTAAAGCTTTGCCTAGGTATCGTTTGGAAAACTTGGAAAATGAGTATCGACTAGGACTATAAAATAGAAAATGCGATCCTCTCTGGGCATTTGCTCAGAAGATACCAAGTAGGAGTCAGTGGCAGTACCTTGGAGTAATACAGAGGCGCTCTTCCCAGGGCTTTATGAGATGTCTCTAGATGGCTAAAACAGTCTCAGAGAATGGTGGGTGGTTTTGCCCTGGTGGGGTTGGGGCCTCTGGGTGGGCCTAACACACTATACATTCTTTTTTTTTTTTTTAAGATTTTATTTATTTATTTGACAGAGAGAGACACAGTGAAAGAGGGAACACAAGCAGGGCGAGTGGGAGAGGGAGAAGCAGGCTTCCCGCTGAGCTGGAAGCCCGATGCGGGGCTCGATCCCAGGACCCTGGGACCATGACCTGAGCCTAAGGCAGGTGCTTAATGACTGAGCCACCCAGGCATCTCACACTATACATTCTTGACACAGAATGGGGCCTAGGTCAGAAGGGGGCCAATGCAGGACTCGGCACTAAGCAGGTAATCCCACACTCATTTCACCTCCAATTACGATGGACAATGGTGCTGAAAAGTTGCATAGCCCCCTTGTAATCCATCTTCTAGCATTTGGTGAGTACTTGGGGACTAAGTCTATTTCTTCCCACCATGTAAATCATCAACTAACCACAATACACACAGTTCTGCCACAGGAAAAAAGATGCTTCACTCTCCCTGGCTTTCACTGAATAAAGAAATTTTTGAATTGAGCTCCTTAAAATATCAATGCTCCATATTACTCCCCAGATACAGATATAAATCTTTATAATGGTGCACTTTACAAGCAACACTCTGGAGTCTTTTCTGATTAGTAATCACAGTGTTTCCTTATTAATACTGTAAAAAATGTAAAAGGCATAAACATTTTGCAATCTATCTGTTCTTTCCGTGCAGGCATACATCAGGGGCTGCTTTAAGCATTCCTAATGGTTCACCCATCACATTTTTTATGAGTTTATATGGGAAGAAAATTGTACCAGAAAACCGAATTCAATGACTGCCATTCTATGAATAAATTCTGTTATCTTTGATACTCTGGGTATAATAAAAACATACAAAAGTTAAATTTCAGCATCCTTGCAGAGTTATGTCAACTGTTTTTAATGTCAATAAGACACTGCTATTTCAACCAATGTCTTTTCCCTCCAAAAAATACTGCTTGATTTTCAGGTTATGTTTTCATTAAAACAACTTGTTTTTAACAGCTAGATGCTGTGCATGTTTGCTAATTTATGTATACTACAAAGTCTGATCAAAATGAAGAGTTATAATTTAAAGACACGGAGCTCAGTAAAAACCCATCTATACTTGGGATGAAAGATTAAAATAAAAGTCAGGTGTCCATAAAATATATTTTATATAAGTTAGATCAGAAAATGTCTTGGAAGAGTAACTTTGATCAAGCAGACTCTTAGATATTTATTTGTATTTACACACATACCCCCTGTGATTAGAGGGCATATTTTACATTGTATCCCATAGGTATATTCTATAAGTAAGGTTTTGGTCTTTCTGACCATCTGGGAGATTTCTTTCTCAAAAAAATGCAATGATCTAAATACTTTGAGTAGATTTTCAGGAACTGTTCAATTTAAACATTTGCAAATCGATTTACTGTGCTTCCTTTCATGATAACAAACTCTAAAGCAACTTCTTTATATTATGGAAAGCCTGAAGCTCAATTTCCCCAAAGTAGTGACCCACAGACACTCACCTACCCATCTGAAGGTCTGTCATTATCCTTTTGGGAGGGATTTTTGCCTCTAAAAGGTCCAACTTATCCAAGTGGCCATCTTCTTATGAATTGATTCATTGTTAAGATTTAGGGAAATTAAAATAAAAATCTCAAAGATATTCAGAAATTTCAAAGCTCTGAAAACCTGCTGCTGCTTGCACTCCCATCACCTGGGATATCCTAAGGAGTCCGTGCTTATAAGCGACAAACCAAAGAAGATATTGCAGGTGCCTGCTAGTGATGTGGACTCATCCCTGGATTTTTGCCACCTTCCAAACTTAGTTGTGACATTTATGACCTCAGGGTTCTTACATTCTCTTAAGCTTTGCCTCAAAGGAGGTTTCTGCCTTATTCCCTGGCCTCAGGCTAACTCTTAGCCTTTCTACAAGTAGGACAAGAAGGAAATGATTTGGACAAAGGTACTTTGTAAGGCATGTAAAACAAAATTTATTCCTAGGTCTAGTCGAGTAGGAACAGAATTCCTTTTCTGGAAATAAACAGGTAATTGAAATAAAAGTGCCTACTTGGCCTAAATATGTGTCAGAGGACCTCAATTCTCTATTTGTCTATGGAAACAGCTTCCTATCTTGGCTGTAAGCAGAGATTTCCCAGAAAAATTAGAGTCGTAGAAAGGTTTCAGGAACAGGCTTATTAGGTGGGCTGATGGCATTTCATTAGACCCACCCTAACTTCTTTAAGGGCGTTCACTGGTTTATTTTAGTGATTGGACTAAAGCATTTTTTCCCGGAGGTACCTAGCCAGATGATTCCATCTGAGAAAATGAGTGTTTTGTTTTCTTTTAAAAGTGTACATGAAGATGCTTATTTGTGAAGCAGATTCCAGGGTTGGCATTCTTGGAGGTTAATCCTGATTAATAGGAGCTTGGTGATATAATTTTGGCTCTTACTCAATTGAGGTTGAGATTCTGGCCTCTAGCCACTCTGTAATTATCACCAAGTCTCAGGGCATACCTTGTGGGCACCCCTATATGGAGGAGATGGCTCATTGGGTTGGCATAAACAACACCTTGTAACCAGGAAACACTCGTTAAGCATCTCATCTTCCAGAATTTCATGATCATCTCTTTGAATTTCCCATGTCCATTAGTACCACGAATAGGTTTTGTTCTGCTTTTTATGACATTTATTAAAGGTTTTCCTTGCTCTGGAGTGATGGTGAGCACTTAGGAGAAAGGAGAATCAACAATGCTTGAGTGTTTTCATCCTGGAGAAGCTAAGTTGACATGTCATGGAGGTGATCACACTTCAACACTCATTGGACCAATTGGGACCAGACTGTGGATAGCTATTTTTTTTTAGAGTTATATCTTTATTACTTTAATTTGATAAGAAGGAAAAACTTTATACAGTGTATCTATCAGCTTCTGGGAAATGTCTCTATTGTGCATTCTCTCTAGGTGTAACGACCTGTGAGAGTTTGACGTTGAAGTATAAGAACTTCCATGAGGGTTTTCAAGATGGCAGTCAGTCCTGTGAGTTAATTCAAATTTCACTTGAAACCACTGGTATGTAGTTTTGCACAAATGGCAGCTTTTTATGTAGACAACAATAATAAAGGGCCAAGGCAGTTGAAGGAGTTGGAGGCAGCTTGAGCTTCTGGCTCCCTCCCGAGACTCTTCTACCCTCTTTCTGATTCACTAAATCACCTGTGAAAGACTTTGAGTATCCGGCTCTAATTTTGAACAAATGAGAGAAGTGAAGCTTTTACTATGCACTTTTGTGTGTGTGGAGAGTCCAGAGCTAGATGCTGTGAGGATAAAGGAACTTTAGGATATAGGTCTTTTCGCTAAAGAAATTCATAATCTAGTTGGAGAATTAGTGCCAGGTTTTACTTAGATACCAGTGGGTTGGCATCCAACATGCGATTGGATTTCAGAGACACCAAAAGGATTCCAAATATTTCACCTATACCAAGACAAAAGGCTACTCTAACTCCAACCTCAACTCCGATACTAACTCCACCAAAAATTAGTAGACCTCTCATAATAAGTACTTTGAACATGCTGGGTATTGTGATGTATTCTTCAGCTATGTGATGTTATTTAATTCTGACCTGTATTCGGCCTTGACCCTGCTTTATCTTTTGTGCTAGTTCATGAACAAGTTCTAAGCGACCTCTTGCACAGCCTTGGGTTGAGACGGATGGCCACTCAAGCCACTGAATGGAGGCCCTGGATTTGAACTACATGTTCCCAAATCCATCCAGGGAGCTTTAATGCAAGGCTCTTACATGTTTTGAAGATCTGATAATGCTGTGACCAGCAAAGAATCTGAAGTGACATTCTGGGATATGAGAATGTCCCGTTCCATTCCCTCAGTTCCCACAAGGCCTCCTGTACCCTGATGAATTTTAAACAGTAAAACTTTCTCTAATAATAGTCTCAACATGTCTCGCCTATGTCTGCAGCTTATTGAGCAGATGGGCTTCAAGATCCCACCATCTTTTAAGGGCTCTCATATTGTAGGCTCTGTGTGGTGAGAAAGAGACAGAATTCTCATGAGAGCTGACTTGGGTTTCCACTAAATTCTGGGTTTCTATCTGTACAGCTACAGAGGACCACCAGGAACTTCTGATTCCCATCTCTGAAGTCTCAGTACGGGTTCAGAGTGTTAACTCTTCAAACACCTTTAAGTCGAGGTTACTGACGTGTTCATTTAACCTGGCCTTTCCTGAACAACAGATTGTTTCAGGAAAAGAATTTGTAGAATTTGATCAGAATTATTTTTTTATTGGGTGGTGAGGAGAAGCTACAAAGTAGATCGTACACTGCTTCTGCAAATCTTCCTTTTGTTTTTGTTGTTTCTATTAAAATATGGGAGACACTAAGTATTCATCTGTGTGAGATGGAAAAAGAATCCCAGAAAATGTACTTTTAAAAGTCCAAATATTGGTTGACTGCTATATGCCCCTTTTCATACATTTTTTCCTCTTTTAAAAGGGTTTATTTATTTATTTGAGAGAGAGAGAGAAAGAGAGAGTGAGTGGGGTGGGGGCAATGGGAGACGGAGCAGAAGAGAATCTCAAGCAGACTCTCTGTTGAGTGTGGAGTCCGACATGGGGCTTGATCCCACAACCCTGAGGTCATGACATGAGCAGAAATCAAGAGTCAGATGCCTACCCACTAAGCCACCCAGGCACCCCTTCACACATTTTTTTCCCCATCTTAAACAACCCAGAAAGATCCACTTAAGTTAACCGAGGCTCACAAGAACTAACATGTCCAACTTCATACATCAGCCTTTCACGCTCCTTCCATTAATAGTTTGCTTCTTTTAAAGTTTTCTTTCAACAAATCTTAGGAATATTAGACACTGTGAGAATACATGAAAAAAATTATTTTAATTTTTCTAGATTTTTTGAGATATAACTGACATATTGTGCAAGTTTAAGGTGTACAACGTGTTGATTTGATACATGTATATTGTGATATGCTTATCACCATAACCACTGTAGCATTAGATAACATCTCTTTCATGTCACTTAATTACCATTTCTTTTTTGTGGTGAGCACATTTAAGATCCACTCTCTTAGCAACTTTCAAGTGTATAATACAGTATTGTTAACTATAATTGCAATGCTATGCATTAAATACCCAGAACTTATTTATCTTCTAACTGGAAGTTTGTACCCTAACCAACATTTCCCCATCACTACCAACTCCCTGCCCCCCACCGCTGGCCCTGGTAACCACCATCCTACTCTCAGTTTCTATTTCACAAATAAGGGATATCATACAGTATTTATCTTTCTCTGACTTACTTCATTTAGCATAATGCCCACAAATTTCACCCATGATGCTGCAAAAGGCAGATAGAATTTCCTTTTTTAGGAATTTCCTGGATTTCCAGGATTTCCTTTCTGATGGCCTGTTTCCATATCTTGGTTTTATGAATAATGCTGCAATAAACATGGGAGTGCAAATAATATTCAATATTCAATATTTCTTTTCAATATTCTGTTTTCATTTTCTTTGGATGTATACCCAGAAGAGGGATTGCTGGATCAAAGGGTAGTTCTATTTTTAATTTTTGAGGAACCTCCATATTGTTTTCTGTAGTGGCTGCACCAGTTTGCATTCCCACGAACAGTGCACAGGTGTTCAAAAAATTTATTACAGCCTTAAAATAGGTGCCTCTTTTCTTCGTTTTCTCTTTCTCATTTATCAGAGTTCTAGGAGGAATATAAGACAACTGGGACACAACACTACTTATTTGTGTCCACTACAATGTATCAGTAGGAACTTAGAAGAAACCTGATCTAAATGTTAATATTAATATTGCTCCCCTATGAAATCATGAGCAGAATGAAATGGTTTAGGTAAGTATCTGTGCCAGAATCAGTCCTATCATTTGGCAAAAAGTCAATGACAAGAGTTGATTAGTTGCAGCTAATCAGTGGTGTGCTAGCAAAGTAAGGGTGAGGAGAGAGTGAGGGTCCGGGAAGACTAATTTGTGGCATTTGTCAATTTCTGAGGTGTAAATACCCTCATCAGGACTGATTTCAAGGTACCAGTGGTTTAACAACGGACTCATGCAATTCCTGCAAATTTAACAATTAGCTTTCATAAGCTAGTATGATCAGGCTTCAGCATGCCAATACAGCTCCTCTCTGAGAACTGATAGCCCCTGCCTCTGGTAAGATATCCAAAGTACCCTTCCTTCTTGTACCTGCCCAGGATTTCCCAGGTAGGCCCTCATTAAGGGGGTGATGCTGGTCTCATTCATCACATGTCCCTCTAAAATGGTTGGTGATTAAGGAAAGCCTCTTTTTTTTTTTTTGACTTTTTAAAACAGCTTTTTTGAGATGTAAGTGACATTAAAAAAAACCCTTTCAAGGAAATCTCTCAAGTATGCAGAACTTTGTGTGAGGAAAATAAGACATTGAAAATGCTTATACAAATCCAGGATTCCAATTTATCAGAGGGATGGATAAAAAACAGATTAGAAATAATGCCAAAACTCATACAACTCAGTAACAAAACACCAAATAATCCAATTAAAAAGGAGGCATAAGATTTGAATGGATATTTCTCTGAGGAAGACATACAAATGGCCAACAGGTACATCAAAAGGTACTCACCATCACTAATCATCATGGAAATAGAAGTCAAAACCACAGTGAGATATCAGCTCATACTTATTAAGATAGCTATTATCAAAAAGACAAGAAATAACAAGTGTTGGAAAGAATGTAGAGAAAAGGGAACCCTCGTGCACTGTTGGTGGGAATGTAAATTTGTGCAGCCACTGTGGAAAAGAGTTTGGAGGTTCCTCAAGAAATTAAAAATAGAACTACCCTATGATCCAGCTATTCTACTTCTGGGTATATAATCAAAGGAAATGAAAAGAAGATAGCAAAGAGATATCTGCATTCCCATGTTCACTGCGGTATTATTCACAGTGGCCAAGATATGCAAACAATGTAAGGGTCCAATAAGGAATGAATGGATAAAGAACATGTGGAATATGTATACAATGAAGTATTACTCAGCCATGAGAAAGAAGGAAATCCCACCATTTGTGACAACATGGATGAACCTGGAGGGCATTATGCTAAGTGAAGTAAGTCAGACAGAGAAAGACAAATACTGCATGGTATCACTTATATGTGGAATCTAAAAAAAAAAGAAAAAGTCAAACTCATAGAAACAGAGAGTAGAAAAGTGGTTGCTAGAGGCTGAGGGATGAAGCGATTAGGGAGAGGTTGGTAAAAGGGGACAAACTTTCAGTTAGAAGATAAATAAGGTCTGAGAATCTAATGTATACTATGGTGACTATAGTTGATAAAATTGTATAATTGAAATTTACTAAGAGTAGGAACTTAAATATTCTCACCAAAATGAAATGAATAAATCTTTAAGTCAAAAAAAAAAAAAAAGAAATGATGCCCAAATAGCTTACAGTTTCAATTTATTGACTGTACTCGGGATGTGGTTAAATGACGTCTTATATCTTAGGATGAAATAATTAGGAGATTCTGAGTTGGGCATATTTTGGTCTGCAAACAGACAGGCACTGATGTGGCAGTAAGGGTGTGCTTTGATTCATCTTCAGTGGCCGGCATCACTCAGAGAGGAAAAACCAGCGTCACATCGAGGTGTATGTTCATATGTGGTCAGCAGAAGCTTTGGCTGTATTGCTGTGGTTATTTCTCCTTTCCGTGGTGTTTTGGGATGCCTGGTCTAAGTTTGTCTTCCGTGGTTGAGTTCACAGAATCATAATATCATAATATTGGGAAAGGTATCTAGGTTAGTACATGAATATCTTTCTCAATTTCCTTGACATGTGATCATTTGCTTGGGCTCGAAGACCACCAATGAAAGGGACACTCAACTTCCTGAGGCCCCTGCTTACATTTTCAGGCCATTCTCTTTGTTAGAAAATTCTTCAGGCAGAGTAGGATCTTTATCTCTGCAGCTACTTTTGGTTCTTTTCTGGACACAGAGGATCTAAGATGGACACACAGCTTTAAAAGTTGTCAGAGGCATTTCAAGTTCCGTTCCACAAACATTTCTTGCATGTTTGCCATGGCCAGGATTCACAGATGCACTAACCTCATTTCTGTCCTTGAGAACTCAAAGTCTGGCAACCTAGAAAGGTTGCCTCCAACCTAGAATGGAGAACTTAATTCTATTCTAGGATTCTGTAACAGGGACTACCCCTGTCCTAGCAATTGTCCTTCCTTTCCCCTTGCCCCATGCTAATGACAGGACCTTCCATGTTTTAACATAAGCTCATCATTTTGACAAACACAGTTGGTTAGTCTGGGGGAGGGTCTCTGACCAAATAGCACTAATCACAGTGTTCTGCCCTCACTGGTGTTAAAAGAACAAAATTCAACTGAATACATTTAAAAGCTTGTATTGGCTTTATTTAATGATTCATGATTCAGGTAGCATCCCATCTAGCAGACAGAGAGGAGCTCTAAAGAGCTGTACAAAATTAAAGACTTTTATAGGCAGAAGGAGGTGGGACACGGAAGTTATACTAGCAAGGAGCTGATTATTTGTGGCAAAGTCACCTTCCTTTAATGGACGGCAGGGGTCTATCAAGCAGACTACCTTTCTAGAACTGACCAGGTAATTCCAGATTGACTGGTTTAAGATCTCACTCCAGGGGGAACCTGAAACTATAATTAAGTTAGGTATTAGGTCTCGGTTTGGTGACATGGGGCTTAGCACAAGTGACTCCATTTTGAGCCTGATGTCTCTTTGTTGAACACTGGCTAAGGCTGATTAGTCCAGGTGTGGGCTCCTGACCACAGCTGGCCACTCAAAGCTCTTCCTTGGGATTTTAAAATTTGCTATCAGAAAGGATATAAGCCAGTCTCTCTCTAATGACTGTCTCCCTAATGACCGCACAACTGTGCAGCTGCTGTAGCCAC